GACATGTTCGTTGATTTAATATTGATGTACGGATGATCCGAAGGCGGAGTTTCTCATACAAACATAAATTGAGCTTCCGATTTCGCCCCAAAGAGGTTGCGGATTTTTATACTGATGAAACTCATTTTGGTTTTCTGGACACCAAAATAAGATCTGGAGTCGATATGAATCCCAATTTATTAATGAAATGTCGCCATTTCTGTTTTTATGTAGCTTTACTTTACTATAATAATTGAAATAAATGAAACATTTCAGTAGTGTTACACGGATTTTAAAATCTAAGTAAAATAATAATGATTGTGAAAATTAACAATACAATCGCAAAATGAAGAAAAAAACAAACGAGACGGCTAAGTGGAGTTTAATAAGAATATCAGACATACAGCTTTTGTATCATAGTTTGGGGACCTTTCTGTTGAAAAAGTGTCAGAGTTAAATCGTATACATATACATGCACAGTGCGGTAACTGGAGTGCGGGTATCAGTTACCCGCACTCCAGATAATGCCCGTTGATTGGTTCATTTTTGCTGGGGTTTACATATTGTGACGGCAGAGAAAGGGAAAGGGGCAGAAATATCATATTCAAATGCTTGTTCATTGGTTAATTTTTCTGGGGTTTCATATTATGACAACAGGGAACGTGCTGTCATGTTTGACTATGATACAAAAGAGAAAGAACACCAAAACACTCGGCAATCTGATTTATACTCGGGGGCTACGCCCCCTCGTACAAATCAGATAGCCTCGTGTTTCGGTGCTCTTTCTATTACTTAACATACAGCAAGATGGTAAAATAAAAACGAGATTAAAATTATACGACCACTAAATACACGGTCATACGACCACTTAATACACGGTCATTATTGTTGGAAGATTACTTGAAAGAAGTTATATGAATAATATTTTTACATGTTATAAAAATAGTTTTTAAATTAGAGGAAGCTTTGTCATCCTGCCAGACTTGTATGTATAGTTATAAATATAGTAAAACATTACAAAGGGAAACAAATTTCTCTGTCTATTTAACTTAAAGTATAAGAGCAATCAGGCACAATGTAGGTCTTTACTTCAATGATACACCATGATATTTAATTAATGAGTTAAGCTATTTGACTGGAAATAGTTCTCTTAAAATCTAAACTGATTAAACTGGTTAAATGATTTCAAAAAGAGCATTTTTAATTTGTCTTATTGTCAATAAAAGGATAAAGGATTAACAAAGAAAAAAATTAGGTCAAAGTACCCATTCAAGTGTCTTCCAGCAGAATTCCAGTTCAATTAGACAAAATAGTTCTTGAAAGAACTATGAAAGAACTTGGGCTGAAGCAAAACTTTTATTGCGATGTGATGTCTTGAAAAGAAAAACATGTGAATGTAAAGGTATGGAAGAGACATAACATATATTCATAGGTTTTGGAGGTGAATTTATCGCTGTTATCTAAACGCTTTAATTTATCATACGCAACAGTCGGATTGTGGTCAGAGTGGCTGCTTTTCATTTTAGGAACTCGTTTAATGGTCATGTGCCCCCCTTATGATTCAAATTAATCCAGTATAATTGATTTTGCTTAAGTTATAAGAATTTGTGTACTTATCGAGAGTTGACAAATATAGCTGGTATACGAACAACTATTAAGACAAATTAACAAATACAAAACATAATATTGCACCTTGCTGTTTTTAAACAAATTACACTAACAATCAGATACTGTGTACGTAACCATAGAGCTATCTCTTTGGCGACATGACTACCTCCTTCTCGACAGAGCTGTCTCCAAGAACACATATCCTATATTTTCTTTATTAGCTAATGTTTTGTTTGGATTTCAATCTTATTTCATTTCTAGACCTTATACTTGAAGCGTATTTGTTTTTAATCTGAATATCTGTTTAGATAAAAAAATGAAGGAAAAATAATCTGTTTCATGATTAAACGGTCCATTTCAATGTTGAATTCGCTAACTGGGAAATGCCGCCATACCTACATTTCAAACACAATTATAAGAATTTTACGTTTTCTGGAAACTTAAATCAAATCTACATTGCATAGCATTCTGCGAATTCCGATATTTGATGTAGAGTTTACAAAATATATAAAAAATAAAAACACTTTACAATAGCGACATGCACTAGCTCAGAAGTAGCGATAGAGCGATTTACTGTATACCTCCGTTTATACCTCCAAAAGAGGAAGCTCTATCAATTAGCAGGCATGCATTTAACTCCATTATATCATTTCTAATGTCACAGGTCACGAGAAATTGCCATCATAATAGGACCTGCTTGTGCCATATGGGGGAATGTGACCAGAAACATGAGTTCCCGAAATATATAGTAACAATTCTAACCACAGACCGATCAACCCGATTGATGAATTTAAGCATTAAGATGTTAGCGATAAATGCAATATTGTAGTATATAGATACATAAGTATCTCTTTTAAAAACGTACGATTTACTTTTTTAAAAGGTTTTTATGCTTTAGTCAAACTAAAAGGTTTTTTATTTTCTTTGAAATTCCTGAAATATTTCAACATTTGAAAGGATTTTTTTTGTTTGATTTGACATTTTTTTGTTGACAAAACACGTAATGATAGAGGCCTAAAAGAGCTTTTAATTTTTTTTCACATAAACAGCCAAGTAGGAATAGTTTAAAGAAATCAAAAAAAATACCTCATGAATTTTGTATTATGGACTTTCACGTATCATTGGAGTTGTGTCCTGATTTTACGCGAGGTTTTGACAAGTACATTTCTACCTTTGCTATAAGTTCAGTTGTCGGTGAAGTGTTTTTTTTTTAAAAATAGTGATACCCCAGGCACAATAATAAAACTTCACAGAAATCGTTTTTCATTAGTTCTTTTATTCATTAGTTATTTTCTAAAGCCCACCCAAAGTAAAAATGTAACCTATGAACTTCTTTCGTTTGTACCATGTGATTTTCTAATCAGAATGTATTATAAGGTGCAATCATGGCATATTCCACTCAATGTGATTCATATTGTCTTTCTTTTTAATTTTACTTATTGATTCGCCTTTTTAGCACATTCATTTAATAGAAATTCAAGTTAAAACAACTAGACAATAAACAAGCAAACATGTATCAAAATTATCTTAAAAAAGGACGGACAATGTCATAATCTTAAACTATCTTATTTTACTAACAAATTTTCAAAAGGACCAAACAACTAAAACATATTATAACACTCCTATATATTCTCCTGTGGCTTGCATTTATGATGTTCGTTTGTTCCCTCATTATACTATTAACATGGTCTACTAAGATCAAAAGATACCCAAATGGCAACATCCTATCTGGCAATCTAAGCATAAAACGTAGCTTTGTCTTCTAAAGTTTTATGAAACCATTGGACAAAAAAGGCATACATGTATATAACAACTTAAACGTTTGGAATAAAAAGGGTATTACGATTTTAAGACAGCAGTTCTTTTATAAGTAGATGAAGACATAGTTTTGCGTTTGGTTAGCTTCTAAAAGTTTTGACATGGTATTAAAATCAGCTCTGGCGATTTTGATTTTTCCTCTGTCATGTTATGTACAGTGCGCGTATGGTTATAGGATAACGACCAACTTTTATAGGATAGTTGGGAAGCAGCAAAATTTCAAAACATGCAAAGATCTTTTTGCTACTCAAAAGGTAAATCACTTGTTTTATGTTTTAGTGTTTTAGATTTTGTGTCGCATCTACAAAGTAGTGGCGATATAAAGTGAAAACTTCCCTGTCGTATGTCTGTCTGTTCGTCCGTCAGTCCGTCCGTCATTCCACCCATCCGTCCATCCGACCGTAACAAAACTTGCCAGGACTTCTCATGTGCAATTTAAGTCCAATTTTTTACAGGAATCAAGTCTAGTTGTGCATATTATCGATATTTTCCGGTTTAACCCTTTCGCTGCCAGAGGGTTATTTATTTATTGATCATCTATTTGCCAGAAGGTTTTCTAAGAAATTACTATATTATTAATTGATATTATTATTATTATTTGTTATTAGTATTATAATAATTATATATGTTTCCAAATCTGCTAGTATATAATTATAATTGTCGATGGTATAATCATCTATATATTTATTATTATCATTATCATTATTATTATTATAGAAACGTCTAAAGCCGTCCATATGGCAAATACGCCGAAAATAATAGGGACGGCATATGGCAGTATAAGGGTTAATTATTTTTTTGTCAGAGTAATGGCCCTTTTATCATTTTTAACATTTGGTCGGACTTACAGTTACCCTTGATGCAATTTCAATGACACTTTACAGGAATAATAAGTAGGTCAAGTACCTGCGCATTCTACGTGGGTTTTCATTTAAATGATTTTTGGCCGAGGTATGACTCTTCAATAATAAAACGCATTTTGCCCTGTTAATGACTTTTTGTGTCTCCTGCTACACTGTAGCTGCAACATGTATTTGGCTAGCACGAGGCGATACTTGTGATCATTGATCGCTCTAGTTATATAAATGAACATATTGCTAATTTTCCTTATTTTAAAATATCGCTTTTGTTGATTGGATTAGAGATGTAATACTTGAGATGATTCCATAGTTTCGTGCGATATGTCTCATTTATTGCAATTTTAATCTTAACATGTAGTACATTCCAAAAAATTAAAATGATTTAAACAAGGTTGTTGAAGCTACAAAAATTAAAAAAAGGTTATGATTCAATAATTCGATGATACATCTGAAATGATAAATACCTACATGTCTGTTTAAAGTAACATCAAGTGGGTATAAAAAGTAACATAGCTTACGTACATATGTTTACGTATCCTTAATTTGAATAAACATATAATTATTAAGTTAACTAAATGGAAGAATAAAGTCATTAGATAAATCGAGAAAGTAAATTATGATCCCATGTATTTTTGTAGATTTTTAAGTTCATGAAAAAGTTTACATTACACTTTATCATTCATTGATTTATGACTAAGTTGAAAGCGGTTAAAGAATCCGTAAGTCTGTGTTTTACAACAATTTGGCAGATATAATGTTTACATATAGGTCATTTGATTTTAAACACTCATTTATATGTCAGACTGCGGTTGGTGTTCACGTATCCAACCAGACGGGACAATGCAGTGCTATCTTCTCCTTACCAGACAACAATCAAACAATCACAGACGAATACACGTACGCCATAAAAATATCCGAGGAAGAATCTTACAAACCTTCGGTCTGTTTAATTTCTATCAAAATTGCTATATTCAAAACCATATGGTTATTTGTCTATCAGGACTATCAGGAATCTTTTCCTTAAGCTTTAGGAATGATTTAGTTGTTTTAAGTGTCGTTCAAGTTTATTAGTTAAAGATCGCTTTTTATACAAACGTTTGAATAAGCTGTAAAAGAGTTTAGTTACTACATACTGTACAGTGTTTTTTTTTTGATAACAAGAAATATAATTACATTTGAATCTTCTTCGATAGTCTTGGTAGTTTTTTTGAGCAGGATTAGTACTCCACTATTATCAGGGTTTTTTTTTTCATTTGTTTTTAGATAGCATTATTGTACGGAATTTGTCTCGTATATCGTCACCAGAATGCAGTAACTTGTAAACTCCTATTAAAATTAGAAAGACTTTACCCATTACTGCACTAAGGTGACGACATGTTGATTTCAGGTTCCGTTTGATGAATTAGAAGACAAAGTGTGGGCATTTCCAGGAGGTATAAAAAACGGAACTGTCGTAGAGTTGATTGTCACAATGCCTATCGGACAAAAGGAAGATGGAGAGGGCGCGTAATTTATATAATTATATATAATTTTTATATTAATGTTTAAATTTGCAGATATATGAGTTCAATAAGCAATACAATGAATTGTTCTTTATTGTCTAATTAAATATTATATAATACGACCATTTGTAAAATGGTCTAGTCTCCCAGCAAAGAGATTGTCTTTAAAAAAATATTCTTATTGTAAACTTTATTTACTTTTTAAAAAGTTTTCAAACATAATAACTCTTTTTTTCGCATGTAAGACATATGATTTCAAAACTTTTGTTTATATATATAAATGTGATGTTTTTATATATAAATGTAATGTTTATGACCTGTTTGAATTCAAGCGTCATTTTTATGAATGAGATTTTGTTAAAAAATATTTCAAATTTAAGAAATATATCCATAGAATCGTTTGCAGAGATAAAAAATACTTGACGTAAACGTTTAAGTAAATTAGTTTGCAAACAAAACAGCTCATACAACAGACATTAAATTGTATTACCTTTATTTATAACAAAACAGAAATGTTTATGGGAAAACGAGCATGTTAAAATGTTAATATGAAGCCATCTTTCTGGATGAGATTTTATTCAAGTTTCGATCATTGCATTAAGTACTATTTCAGGAACGTATTTGGTGTTTTTTATTCGAGTCATCCGATATATGACAAAATCATGAAATTAACAGAATCGTTATATCTACCAGAACGAGGACTAGACGTTTTCTCTGCTGTGTAAGTTCACAATTTCCATACAACATCCGTTATATATCTAATAATTGTTCACACAGAAGTATACAATACGCTAATTTATAACTGGACGAGTACGCTGGTAGAATAACTTATAAGGACGAGCAAGCTGAATTGAAGATAACGCACTGTAAATTGTCAACGTTTAACAATCTGTCTGTTACTATATTGTATATTATTCTAGAAAAGTGCTAATTGTGATCTTATCAATATCATATTCCAATTATATACAAATCATATGTATGCGATTAATTTTACAAAAGCTTTTTAACACTTTATGGTGATTAAATTTATATAATAAATGTTTCAATATGATACATTCTTTATATTTGCTTTAATGTACTCAATGTACAATCTCAATCAAACCGATACTGCAATTTCGCTTACTGTAGTGCTCCCGAATCCATTTTCTCCAGATATTTTTTGTCCCTGGGCACAGAGTAATTGAACTTTTTGGTCAGTCTTTTGTCCGTCTGTATGTACAAGCTTAACCTTAAACGGCAATCTGTATATATCTTAAATTTTATCTATACTAATACCTCTACAATTCACACAGTTACTTATCAATAAAAAGTACATTATATTGCTAAGATATATACCTGTACGTCCCATCTATTTTTCCTAGCTAATTCCATTTTAATCACTTTGAAAAAGGGCATTGTGAGGTAAACCTATTCCGGCAAGTTTGTTTAATTTTAAATTTCTCCTAATTACTTGATTTATTGAATGAATCAGATTTATGTTATATGTTATTGATGGATACCTTAAATTGTCCTATGATTTTTGTTGGGTAAATCCACACTTTTCATGCTTATACAAAATAATATTTCTATGTTGATGTATTTTATGTTTAATACCAACAATCCAAGGGAGGATTCCCCCTTCATCTGGATTTTGTTAGATGTCATTTTGTCATAGTCAAAGTCACCAATGACAAAAATACAATGTAGATGTTTACGCCTTTACAGGTGTATTAACCTATTAACATTTTATATTGACATAATGATGTTTATATATTTGGTAGGAACATAAAATTGAGATCTTCAAGTTTAGATTGAGTTAAGGGTCGGATGGGTCAAGGCAACACATGCCAAAAAGATTATTTACACTTTAGCTCATACAGCCTTTATATATTGACAGATGTATTTCATATTTGGCAGGAAGATAATATGCATGGTAGTCTTCATTTTGATAAATGTAGGGGTCATTGGGTCAATGTCATTAGTGCCAAAAAGATTATTTACACGTTTGGCCATACAGCCTTTAGTTATTATGTTTGGTAGGATGATTACTTACATGGATGAAAGAATGGATGATTAAAGAATGGGTCAATGGGTCAAGGTCAACAGTGCTAAAATAGATTGTTACATGTTTGCCAACACAGCCTTTATATATTGACAGATGTATATATCAGATTTGGTGGAAAGATAACTTGCGTGATATTCTTTATTGTGATTGAGCTAGGGGTCAGTGGGTAAAAGGTGGCAACAACAGATTCCTACCTATTTACCTGCACAGCCTTTAGTTTTTGACTGGTGATTTGTTTTATATTTGTAAGGATGGTAACTTGCGTCTTCTTCTTCATTTCGATTGAGTTAGAGGTCAATTGGAGCAAAGTCACAAGTGCTAACAATCGAGTGTTACATTTTTGCCCATATAGCCTTTATTTTGGGGCAGATGTCTTTCATAATTTGTAGTAAGACAACTTGCATGATATTCTTCCTTTCAACTGGGTAAGGGGTCAGTGGGGCAATGTTAAGGTATCAATTGTAGATTTCTACACATTTGCCAAAAAAAGCTTTTAATTAATATACTGATGTTTTAATAGTTGGCAGGACAGACCTTGGATGGTCCAGTGCTTGGAGTCACAAGGTCAATGTCACTTGTGCTAACAATAGATTTTTTAAACATTTTTTTATACAGCTTTTTTTTTACCAGTGTCTTATAGTTACATGAAACATACCTAATGTGGTCCTTTAAGTTTGTATGGAGTTTAGGGTCACTGGGTTCTAGGGGTAAAGTCTTGCATATATACATTTATATTTGATAATGTTGAATATTTTTCTACTTCATCAGAATTCATATTTTTTTGCAAATACAAAACGCCCTGATTGTCAAGTTATTTAACTGTGTTTACAATTGTTTGGACATTTTTTCTGTCTTTAACTGAGTGAATGGGTAAACAGTTTTTGAAATATTGTTATTGAGCCGGGGGATTTTTTGTTTAACAAACACGTTCTTGTTTTATTTTAACTCAGACTGTTTGAATTTATTTTAGATATTGATATCGTGGGAAAGAGGTGGAAAATTAAAACTTATCGTTTCTTCTTTCAGTTTTAAAGATAACATGTACAGCTTTATGTCGCGTGAAAGACGTTCGACTTACATAGATTATGACGTTTGGTATTATTCTCATCAATTCTTGGGTAAACAAAGCTGGAAAATAACCTTCCGGTTTGAGCATCAATTCATGAATGTAAGAATTTATTTTTCTGTTTCAAGTCCAATTATACTTCAATGAAATAAACGGTTGTTTATACGTTGAATGTAAATCAAATTCCACGTCTTTGCTTAGTAATATTGAATCAATTAGATATTTAATTAGCCTACCATTGTTATGATAAGTGTAAAATATTTAATGGCATTGTTTCTTTGAAAAACAAGATAATCAATATGTAAGCAAATATGGGTAGTAATGTATAAAATGATGTCTTGCAGAAAAAAAAACGTCTTGGTAACTGTCCGATTTAATTCATACAAATCGTTGGCCTACATTTGACCTTTGCCGCTGTCATTGCAAGTATAATTCTCGGGTGGACATTGAGTGACTTGTTCATTTATATCCAAAAACCTGTATGAGAGCCGGTTTAAAATTTTGTATTTTTGATTAGAAAATTAATGAACTTGTTACTGTTTGCACATCAATGTACTTGGTTTTAGACGGGTAATATTTTACGTTGTCACTCTCATCTAAAATATATACAATGAACTTCAGATATTGCAAAATATGAAATAACCAACGATATAACATTTAAAATGGCATTACCAAGATGATGATTTTGGAGAATAAACATAATGTACCAGTAATTGTTTAATGGGTCGTACAACAAATCTATTATATTTATAATAAGAGTTAGTATGACGAGATATTTTATTATTTATTTGTAGGTGCTGATAGACGATAGCTTTTTTAATCAATATTTACTGTCAGACTCACCTTATGAATGGTTGTACGTTACTGGTTTTACAACGCTTAAAAAACGTGCCTTTATTCAGCACATCAAGATAACACCACCACTTGGTTAACAAGATTTCTTGGATTCTTCTTACGGGATTTGACATTTTTTTATCATATATATAAACGCCTGATCGTGGTTAGTTCATGCTTGCTTAGCAATAATTATGTAACAAGACAGATTGTCGATGGAAAATTGTTCTCATAAACAACATGTGAAATGGCTAAACATTACATTTTTACTATTATAATGCCATTAATTACGTTTATGTATACTATTTATGTCACATTGTAAGTTCACCTAAAAGAAAAAGCCTACAATGGTTTATTATTTACACGTTCTTATATTTGTTAATCACTGCACTTTGTCCGCCATTTTCTTAACAATACAATATAGTTCATGACGCCAACCTTTATTGTTTAACTTGAAACCTACTTATATATAAAATTTCTGCAAGTACCGAACTTATATTCAAATAATAGTTGTTGAAAAATGTTTATTGAGAAAAGTTTTTCATAGGAAATTGTATTTGACTAGAAAAAAATAACAATATGTAGGTATTAATATTTTATTTTGGCTATATTATCATAACATTTTACCTTTGATATATCTTAATTAAATTAAAACATTGTACAGAAGTATGTCTTTGTGATTGAAATGTGCTTTGCCCAACTCGAGCAATCCCTACAATAATTTTCCGGTGCCCACTTTGCCTGTTAGTAATTTATTTCGAAAAAATGTTCATAATAGGGAAAAAGACATCCATTTCGGACCAGGATTCGAATTCCCGACCTTTCTCATCCAAGGCCAACCCACGTGCTATCATTATTATTGCTTTATGTCAAAAAATGAATAATTTCATTTATCTCATTTCATTAAGGAAAAGAGAGATTTGGTTATTCGTAAATATGAAAAATAATAATTGACAAATACAAATTCAATTCTAACCTGCTTAAAATGACACAGATGATATATAATCCATTTAATATTATACAATTATTGACTAGTGTGCCATTGAATATGATGTGATATTCAC